ATATATAATTCTATCAAATTTCAAGAGCTTCTAGTTTGCTTGAGCTCCTGTGGTGTATTTAAATGTACAGAAAGTGTGGGTTTTGGTGCACACCTGGCAATCCCGGGTGAATAACCAATCGCCTCCGACTGGTCTGCATCCACGCCCAAAAAACGATGACGTTGCCGCCCTAGGCCCTGGCTGGTCGGGCGGCATCTCCCGGCCTACAAATCCAAGTAACCCTGTTTACAGTGGTCAATAACTAACTTGTAATGCTTTTTTTTTTTTTTTACCCCTCTTTAATACATGTACCTCACAGGCCACGTTTTACAACAAGGCCAAAGCTCGTGGTTGTCAAAGCCAACTCAAAATAGCGTGACAATTGTGACACTATTCAACAGTAAACCCCATTTAATAAGACCACTCAACCAAAAGCAAACCACAGCAGCTTTTGTGTGACGATGATGGTGATCATGTGTGACAGTAACCTAGATACCATAGGCTTATTTGGGTATATTGTTGACACTACAATATATAATAAGCCCTGGCTGCAGGTTTAGGTGACAACTGTGACTAAAATATCACTAGTTTATCATTTGGGCGGAAGAAGGGAACAAGCAGCACTCGCATTTTTAACAATCGTGTAGTCCAATATGTCGGTGTGGTGGCAGCCCAAAAGATGCTGAAAAATTGGTGGATTCTCTGCAAAGATTTGGAGATTTGGAGAAGCTTCCTGTTCTTCAACATCATCAGAAATACCCTTTACCGAGGCACTTTCCCTCCTCTGTACTGTCTGCTTTAGAGAAGCTGTTAAGTGGCCAGTGGCTGTGATAATAATGGTCAACTCCAGGAATGAATCTGTAAATCTGGAGGTAAACTTAGAGGTAGAAAGTAAAAATGACTTGATATAACCCATGTAATGTAAGTGCAGTTCTGAAGTATTGGTAGTGATTTTATTTTGTGCTTTTTATATACTCCTAACACCTGATTTTAGTGGGAAATGTTGCACTTTTTACTCATTTTTATGATGTTTACTAGTTACTTTGCTATAAAATACAATGCATTCCTGCATATTAAACAATACTATACTATATATAGTTAGACTTGGCACTGCCTAGACCATCTACATCATTAAAATACTCGGTCATTATTAATTTATCACTAATTTTACAATCTACAGTACATTTGCTTTTGAATCTTAAGTACATTTTAGATATTACATGTTTACTTTTACATTAGCAAACTTCCAAGTGCAAGAATTATTATACTGCATTCTGATTATTTATAGTGCAATATTGCTGTGTATTACTTAAGTAAAGGATACAAATAAATCTTTTAATACTAGTAGATGTATGAATATTAAGCATGTGATGCTAAAAAAGCACATGGAGAGACCCACATAATCATAAAGATAATCAAACTATGCGTCAGGGTGCTTCATTTTAGAGTAGGATCCATCTTTTTTGTGTTTTTATCTTGTCTTTTAAGCCTCACAGAATTCTGTTACATATTCATTTTTTAAAATGCATCACCCATTTCCTAACATGACGAGACACAAATCTGAAACTGTTTGAATACGCAGTCAAAGTAGTTCAACCAAAAGGGGTTCCATCAATGAAATACTCCTTTTTTAGCACAGATATTTCTCCTTACCTGATAAATAGAAGTACTAATAATGTATAAAGTAAAGACAGTTTTAATCAAGACCAATTAGTCATCTTGGTGAATGATGGACAGGCACCTGAAGTCAGCGGCAATTCTGCAAAGTTCAAACCAAACACTGGGGTTAAGGTAAATACTGTTACATTTGTGCACACTGTCTCTGTCTGAGTCACCTAAGCATACACAGTGGGTTGAATTATACCATGGGATTGCATGTTACTCATTTGCAGCAAAACATCTGCATCCATATGCAAAAAGTTAATTTTTAATAATAAGTGTGATTAGGATAAAGCGGTCAACTTCTTTTTCCCTTCTTGTTTTTCTTCGTGCTCGTGTGTTTGACTCCAAAACGTCAACCTTCATGTCCTCTCTAATTCACTCATGTGCACTAACAAATTAAAGTAACCAATAAATTATGTAATCTGTAAACTTCAGACACATACTGACATCCATTCCCATTTAAAAAAAAAAAAAAAAACATACTAAATGAGTTACTGAAACGAACACCATGCACCAGTGTAGTCTCACTACTTCTTTAATGAATGTGATTTCCCAATAAGAGTTAAACTAGTGCAGCTAGCTACCAGTGAAGTTGGCCTACCATGTCATGTCTTGACGTTCGTTCTACAGCCTCGTGATATTGGTAAACCTAACATGACGTTGCGGTCCCGCGTTTGACAAGCGTTTGCCTCGGCCAATAGGAAACGGAGCTTTTTCCGGCTCGGCCAATGGGATCGCCAGGATCCCCCAGCGAGGCGGTCGTTCTGAGAAACAGTGCGTATCGGGTTAGGTTGTTAGAAAGTTAATGGCTGGGGGAAAGAGATCCTCCTCAACCCTCGCTTCGGGAGAGTTTCTGGATTCCCTGAAGTAAAACACGCAAATATCCTAAAAGAAAGAGCCTGGACGGACGTTTAAGTCAACAACTAGCTCGTGAACACACGTATCGTGAACACAAGTATGCAGGATGCAGTAGCCGGGACGGCAATGCTGACGGACGGCTTCGAGGACGAGATTGACTCGGTGACTCCTCGCTCCCCAGTGGCAGGGATGGGGGTAGGAGCGACACCAGGAGGAGTCGGACTAGGGGGCATTGGAATCGGTGTAGGTGGAAAGAAAGTACGTTTGTACGGCGAGCCAGGCGGGCCCGCTGCAGAAAGACTGGATTTCAAACTAGCGGCCGCGGCCGTCCTCTCCTCGGGTCCGGGATCCGGCAGCGACGAAGACGAGGTTTCAGAGGTAGCTACTACGCTAAGCTAAGTTAGCTCACAGCTTAACCAGAGGCAACATTCCTCCCCGAGCTAGCTGGGGTTAGCTCGCAGCTGGCAGCCACCCCCCTCCTCCTCCTCCCAGGCCGCTGAAATTACGTAAAATAAACCCGCACTTTAATCGAGTCGCAGCTCTCGCCGGTTCTGGGTGTTGCTGGTGTCGGCGGTACGCGGGCGGTGGTTCACGCCGAGCGGCTGAGAGGGTTTTATTTACGCAGCGCAGGATGTGTCCAGGGGCCTAGTTCGGGTGGAAGCGGAGACGGCCTCGCTCGGTGCTGTCGTCTCGCAAAACACCCATCACAAGTTTTGCTTGCTCCTCTCTCTCCCTCTCTCTCTCCAACGAGCTCCCCAGCCGCAGCAAATGGAAGATGCACCCGCGGGACGCACACCGCCATCTAACTTATCTGCCATTTTCGTAGTTGTGGTGCAATTACGTCACTTTTCCCCCAAAAAAAACCATGTAAATTAACTCCGGTCGTCCCCTCGGCTAACTTTTCGATGCGTTTTTTTTTTTAGATTATGCTTTTCCCTCCCGGAGCTACTTGAAAATGTTCGACACTTGGTGTTGACCAGTAAACCAGTTGGGTAATATATATATATGTGTGTGTATTTTTAACCATCCTTCGTCTCTGTTGGTCAGGTAGTCCACCACCACTGGGTCAACTTTACGTGCGTTGTCACATTTGAGAGCAGCTAGAGTTCATGTTGAGAGGTGTCCAACTTTCCATGTGCTGGCAGTCACACATGGGGACAGGTGTGATGGCATCTCCACCTCACCTAAACATGCTTTAGACGTGTTTTCTATTAGCTCAGATGTGTGTGTGTGTGTGTGTGTGGATTTAACATAATATTTTGTCTCCACGGCACAAAAATTTGAAATGACGCCCAGAAATCACCTTACTTAATCCAAAGGTGAATAGTCAGATTCACCAAGTGCCATGTCATAACCAAACATTTTGTTACTGAACGTCTGGTGTAATGTGAGCTGTCTTAAAGATGTTAAGACTTCTCAGCTGTATTATTGTCACGTAATAGAGACACAGGAGTGGAGCTTGTCCGGACGGCTGAATGGCAAATTTATGATTTGCTCAAACCTATCAAAGTCTCAGTTTAATTACATTTTAATGGTAACGTAATATCCATTGTTGTCTCAGAGATGGTGCAGTATTTATTTACTGTCAGAAACACAATCATCGGGGAGTTATGGGTGCCACCGCTGAGCAATGCGTTTTACCTGTTGAGCTGTCTCTATTATACTTAACTAATATCAGATTAAAGGGCTGTCGGTCTGTCTGAAACATGCTGCAGCCACCACAGTTAGACAAGTGAGGATGTCAGCTGATACCAGTGTCAGTATAGCCGGGCCATTTCTGCCTGAGCATCAGCTGTGAAGCAGCAGCAGCAGCAGCAGAAGTTTGACAATTACATCGCAGGCGGTTAATTTAATCAAATTGCAAATGTACGGGCCTCCGTGTCATGTTTCCTCACTCACCCAGCCTACTATGTGCGCCTGAAAGGGAGCGTTTGTTGTGGTGTTTTACTCCAGTGGAGAACTCGCTGCTCTGGGCAGTAGCTAAAATCTGAGCCCCAGGATTAAGCAGATGCCATTCTAGGCCTTTCCAGCTCTCTGGATACCAACACTCTGGGAACTGTAGTTCATTAATGGTGAAGACTGATGTCCATTGTTGATGATAAAGGCCTTTATAGAACTACATCCCCCATGGGTTGTTTTGCTCTGCGTTCCCACCGTATAGCTGAATTCCTGCACATTGCTGAATGCTGACTCTCTCACAACATTTGCTCTCTGAACCAGGCCCTAAAAGCCTGCTGCAGTTTATGGGTGGACACACACAGAGGTTGTTTTACTCAGTTTTTGTCAAAGGTTGTTTTGCAAACTGTTGAAGGACTGTCATTTATTTCTAAAATCCTGTAATTATTTTAAAATCTCACCTTCTAGGT